TCTCTAACAAGAATGGAATATCCATCTCTGACAAAACAAAATGAAAAAGGGGAATATGTTGGGAGCCCTGAAGCTAGTAAATCAACCAAATACGTGTAGGTGGGACATGGCCCAGTGCCTAAAGCAAACAAGCTACCTCACTCCTGAGATGAACATCCTGTCTGGTTAAGGTTAGCTATCAGTTGCTAGGCAACCTAGTGTCAAGTGTTACTAACTTCACAAAAGCATAAATAAAGCATTGTTTTGTTGTGGAAAAAAAAGAGAAAGAAAAAACATATACATATGAGAGGATACATATACAGATACTTTTCTCTTAGTACATTGAGAATAAAAGTTTGTACTAATATTGTTTAGGCAAGATATCAGGTCTCTATCTTGTCCTCTGAATAACTACTATGAAAACATCAATATGCAATGTATTAATTATTGTAACCATCCTACTAACCTGTTTTGAAACTCTTTCTTTGCTCTTGTATCTTTAGTTCTCATCAAAATGAGTTTAAAAAAATTATAAAAAATAAAGGAAAAAGAATAAATAAATAAATAAATAAATAAAATAAAATAATTTAAGGGCTGGAGAGATAGCTCAGCATTCTAAGCGCCTGCCTGGCAAGCAAAAGGACCCGGGTTTGATTACTGGTAATACATGCTGTGCTGGCCCTGCATTGTGCTGGCCACCAAAACTGGGTATGGTGGTGCACTTCTATAATCCTAGTACTGGGGAGGCTGAGGCAGGAGGATCATGACCCTATATCAAATAAATACATAATTAAAAAAATACTCCTAAAAAATAACTTTAAAAAATGTTTTGAGACAAAGTCTCTCTAAATTGGCCAGGCTGGGATTGAATTTGTAATCCCCTCTTAGCCTACCCAGTAGCTGGGATGACAGCATGCATGTTCACAGCTGGCTCAGAGGGCTTCGGGAGGCACAGGCCTGGCTGTAGCTCACCCTTGGGGGCAGGCTTAGGTGTCTGTGTGTGTGTGTGTGGCCCTGAGTCTGCAGGGGGTGGCTGTGTGTGGGTTTCTGAGCCAGGGTTGCGTGTGTGACAGCCAGGGTGTGTGAGAGATGGCAACAGTGAGGCCCAGAGCGAGGCGGGGGTGGGCTGGGCGGAGCAGGGGCTCCCCGCGGACCTCTCTCTGAAGCATTCTTAGCTACAGCATGAGAGTGCTGCTATGACTAATGCCCGGGGCATCACTAAAATTCAGACTGATGCGTATGGAGCGTGTATCGAACAACTCACTGAATCCTGGACAGACAGCCCAGGTGGGTGCAGAGGCCTGTGCAGAGTCACCTGCTGGAGGACATCGTCAGTGGCTGGACAAGGCAGGCCAGCAGGGCGCACGCTCTGCAGCTCAGCGCTAGGAGGACATCAGGGCCAATCGGGGCTTCAAGCCTCAGGAAAGACGTGCTTGGAGTGGTCACTTCGGCATCACCAACACAAGGCACCTGACGCGCAGCTTTAAGGACGGAGGTTCATTGAGATTCATGGCTTCAGGGGCTTCAGCCCAAGGTCTGCTGGCCCCAAGCAGGAGCAGCGTGGCAGCAGGGCCTTGTGGCAGCAGGACACACACAGCTACTCAGGGCATGACGGCCAGAAAGCAGTGGGGAGGAGCCAGAGAGGGAGTGGGGCCAGCAGTGACCTTCAGGCCATCTCCCGGGGGCTTTGGCCAACCCCCCCCCCGCTGCCCCCCCTTCAGCTCCGAGCTCACAACTGTGCACATTCTAGATCAACCAGGCTCCGCTTTGGAACATGCCACGTTAGGGCCAAGCCCGCACCACATGGCCTTTGGGGATCCCTCATCTTGAAGCTCTAAAAACATTCACTGCAGAAAAGGTAGAAGACACATAGAAGCCAAAAGAAGACGAAAGCTCCTGGGCCCCACAAACAACACCCTGCAACAGCTCAACGTGGGACTTTCAGGAATGGGCTCGGACCATTCCCCGGTGCGTGCACGCACAACCCCCACGCAGAGATGCACACACATGCGCGTGTGTTGCGTCCACTCTTCTGTAATTTGCTCTGTTGAATGACAAGCGTCTCACCTGCAGCAAGTTCTATCAGCTGTCACCACTGGAGAGCAGCTGACCATCTCTCTCTTTTTTGTTTCTTTTTCTTTTTTTATTTTTTGGTACATTGTCTGGCCAAGCAGCTCAAACTCGTAATGATTTTCCTGTCTCAGCCTCCCCAGTGCTGGGATTGCAGGCATGCACCACCATGCCCAGTTTCAGCAGCCAGCACAGCAGCATGGCACACAGTACCGGAGACTGTACCCAGGTTCTTCCGCTTGCCAGGCAGGCGTTGAGACTGCTGAGCTATCTCCCCAGCCCGTTCTTGCCGATTTTGGACAGCTCTTATGTGTGAATGCTGTGCCCGTGGGCCAGGGCAGGGTGCTTCCCCTGGGACCTGGGCACTGGCTATTTGTCCCCAGGAGCCCTCTCTGATTGAGAACCCTGGAGTTGGGTAACAGGGAGGTGTGAACCAGTTCAAGCAGTGGGGACACTGGCAAGGGAAGAGCAGAGAAGGTCAGGACCAAAACAGGAGTGACATCCTTAATGGGAGGCAAATGGAGGTAGGTCGTCTCTGCTGACAGGTGGGTGTGTGCGCTTCAGGGTGGCACCCAAGATCTGCAGGAGGGCAGAAGTCAGCTCCCCAATGTCCAGCTCCCTGTCAGCCCAGGAGACCCTAGAGCCTCAGAGGCCCAGGGTGCCAAAGGTCGCATAGGCAAGACTGGAGTCCCTTCTCTTTTTTTTTTTTTTAATTTTTTTTAACATTTATTTATTTATTTATTGTGTGTGTGTGTTTTATTGTGTGTGTGTGTGGCCAGCTCAGCCCACCAGGGGGCGGGGCTGGCTGGCATGTGGTGCTGGGGGATTGAACCGTGGTCCCTGTGCTTTGCCAAGCTTGTTCCAAATAGGTGCTTTAGACCACTGAGCCATCTCGCCAGCCCTGGAGTCCCTTCTCTGTGCAATGTTTTTAAGCACCCAAGCCTCTCTGAACTTGCTTCCCTGCTCCTGAAATGGGTGTGATATCACCTCCTCATAGTCTTTGTTGGATTGGGACCCAAGGGTCACACTTTCAGCATAAGGCCTGGCTTTGTTTTGTTTTGTTTGTTTTTGTTTTTTTTGTTTTTTTTTTTGTATTTTAGGGAAGGGTCTACAGGGTGTTCGGGGTCTCACTACTAGGTTGGACTCATAGTGATCTGCCTGTTTACAGCCTCCCAAGAGCTGGGATTACAGGTGCGCACCACCAGCCCAGTCTCAGCGCACCCTGGGGGCGGGGCCAACACAGCAGGCCCGGGTATTGAACCCCTGGCCCTGGCGCCTGCTTACAGGGGAATGCCTGCCTCTTAGGGCTCCATAGACACAGTGAACTGTGTTGTGTTACTGCCTAGCGCTCAGCTGGCAGAGCCCATTAGTGACACTGGCAACTTTTTTTTTTTAAATTGTTTTGTTTTTTTTCCAAATTTTTTTTTTATTTGTGTGTGTGTGTGTGTGTGTGTGTGTGTGTGTGGCCAGCTCAGCCCACCAGGGGGGCGGAGCTGGCTGGCATGTGGTGCTGGGCATGTGCCACCATATCTGGCTACTATAATGGCCTTAATAGTGTCTTGTTTTCCAAAAGCAAGTTCAAAAGTTCAAGTCCTAGTCTGGGAACCTAGAAAGTGACTATATTTGGCTTTTTTTTTTTTTTTTTTAAACTGGGGATTGAACTCAACACCTTGTGCTTGCCAGGCAGGCACTTATGCCACTGAGCTATCTACCTAGCCTGTTTTTTTTTTTTTTTTGGCAGTACCAGAGATTGAACTCGGGTCCTTGCGCTTGCCAGGCAAGTGCTTATTCCACTGAGCTATCTCCCCGGCTGCCTGTTTGTTTTTGAAACAGGTCTCACCAGGTAGTCCAGGCTGGCTGAGAACTCACAATGATCTTTCTGCCTCAGCCTCTGGAGTGCTGGGATTATAGGTATGTGCCACCATGCCTGGCTAAGGGACTTTATTTGGAAAAGAATTCTTGCAAATGTGATCAAGTTAAGACCAGGCCATGCTCAGTTTGGTGGGCCCCAGGTTTAACTACTGGGGTGAATCAAAAAGGAAGACATGATTTGGACAGAGGTGAAGACCCAGAAATGCAGTCATGGGCATCCAGAGAAGGGTGAGACGGACCGGTGATGCCCTAGGCCCAGGGGGCTGGCAGTGGCAGGAGCTGTGCTGTTTTCATAGGGAACATCCACTGGACTTTGAACACAGGGGGTCAGAAGCTACCATGGGAAGCCCAAGCTGGCCCAGCTCTGAAGAGGCTTACCCTGGCTGCTCCCTCTCCTGCCCTTTTAGGGGTCTCCTCTGCCTGGCAGGCTTTCACAGCTTGTCACCTGATTGCATAGCTTCCTTAACTATAACAACA